AGTCAAAACACCCTCAAGACCTGGATAAGTCCAAGTCAAAACACCCTGAAGACCTGGATATGTCCAAGTCAAAACACCCTCAAGACCTGGATAAGTCCAAGTCAAAACACCCTGAAGACCTGGATAAGTCCAAGTCAAAACACCCTCAAGACCTGGATATGTCTGAGTCAAAACTCCCTCAAGACCTGGATAAGTCCAAGTCAAAACACCCTCGAGACCTGGATATGTCAGAGTCAAAACACTGTCAATACCTGGAAAAGTCCAAGTCAAAACACCTACAAGACCTGGATAAGTCCGACTTGAAACACCTTCAAGATCCAGATAAGTCTGAGTCAAAACACCCACAAGACCTGGACAGGTCAGAGTCAGAACGCCTAGTCCAGTCCAAGTCAAAACACCTCCATGGATGAGTGGAAACAAGTTGAGTTAAAAACACCAACGAAGCGTCCTGAGACCTAGACTCGAGACCAGGACCAGGTCCAGGTCCAGCCTCAAGTACCACAATCCTGGTTTCTTGTATGAAGGAAACTCAGTGGGTCCTACAGAATTATGTTCTGAGACACAAGATGTGACATTTCAGCAGTCAGGACTCAAAGATTGCGATGAAGACGAGGAGGAATATAGCGAAGACGACTCTGCTGCCGTTGAAGCAGACTGAACTGATTTCAGCTGAGTGTGTGTGTGTGTGTGTGTGTCGGTGTGGTCCTACCTGGGGGAGCTCGGCCACAGAGGGCGGTTCCCCCTCATGAATTACGCCGTGCCTCGCTCTGACACGAAGATACTTCACCTGCCCGCCCGGCGTGACAGGCGGCGGGCCGGGCCGCTGCGCCGAGCGCGCTCAGTGCTTAATGGCTAAATTGGGAAGACTGTTACTAATCGCTTATTGAATAATGAAAGTGACACAGCTGATAAAAGATTTCAATACGGTGGATTATTTATAATATTTCACTTAAGCCTCTCCGGCTGACTAATAAGGGGGCGAGTCGCAGGCCCGGGGAGCGTCTGACAACCGGCGGAGCTCAGGAAGAGTGTTTGATAATAAAATAGAGTCCTGATGGAGTCGGAGGGTTAAAGGATCCGTTATCAGTGGAGAGGAGGAGGAGGAGGAGACGAGAGGATGGAGGGAAAAATGAGAGGAAGATACAGGGACGGGAGGGGAGACGAGAAGAAGAAAAGAAGAGGATGGAAATCAAAATCAAACAAGGAAAGGAGACGAAGAGGAGAAGAAAAGCAAATGAAGAGGAAGGAAAATGAAGGGAATGACTAGAGAGGAGATGGACAAAAAACGAAAGTAAAGGAAAAAGGAAACAAGAAGGGGAATGACAAAAAAATTAGGATGAAAAGGAGAAGAGAAGGAAAGAAAAAGGAGGACGGGGAAACAACAAGGAGACAGGAAAGGGAAGGAAAGGAGACGAGGAGATGAGCGCAGACGAAGCGTCTATCCGTCACTCAGACAGCCACTTGCCTTGTCAGCTGCTTGATGCGTCCGTGATGGAGAGACGAACATTACACATCTGCTGCTGCCGTCGCATCTGTTCAACCAGCCATAGCGTGTGTGTGAGGGGGAGTGTGTGTTACGGTGTGTGTGTGTTCACCAGTGAGTGTGTGTGTCATAATGACACTAAGTAGAAATCTGTGTTTATATGAAGGAGATGAGGAGCAGTAAATCTACTGTGTATCTTCTACACCAGTAGAGTTCTGACTGGAACCCAAAGGTTACGGGTTTTATTTCCTCCAATGCTGAACGTTAGCTCGCCATGCTAACGCTAAACATTACCTCCACTCTTTCTCCTGAGCTCTTCCTGCTCGGCAATGTGTAAATAAACTATATCAGTAACACAGACTGATGCAGACCAGAGTGCCAAGCCAAAAAAACAAGAAACCAAAAAACCTGTGGTTGTATGACTCCGCCCACCAGCCCACCCTGTGGCTGTATGACTCCGCCCACCAGCCCACCCTGTGGTTGTATGACTCCGCCCACCAGTCCACCCTGTGGTTATATGACTCCGCCCACCAGTCCACCCTGTGGTTGTATGACTCCGCCCACTAGTCCTCCCTGTGGTTGTATGACTCCGCCCACCAGTCCACCCTGTGGTTGTATGACTCCGCCCACCAGTCCATCCTGTGGTTGTATGACTCCGCCCACCAGTCCTCCCTGTGGTTGTATGACTCCGCCCACCAGTCCACCCTGTTGTTGTATGACTCCGCCCACCAGTCCAGTGTCTCTGACAGTCTCCATCCATGTCAGTGAAAACATGGATGCTTCACACACAGAAGATCTATACAATCAGCACAGTTTCAAGATTAGAGTCACCAATTCAGTATCTGACCAAATGTCTCCCCTTCTGTTCCTGAGATATGACGTTAAAACATGATGATGTCACAGTCAAGCTGACCTTTGACCTTTTGACCTTCATTATTTTATACTGTTAGACATTTGTGTCAAGTTTGGTCAGAATTAGTGAATGAATTCTTGGCCAAAACACATGTTTTGTGAGGTCACAGTGACCTCTGACCACCAAATTCCTATCAGTTTATTTTTCAGTCCAAATGGACGTTTGTGTCAAATTTACAGAAGTTCCTTTAGGGTGTTCCTGAGATATTGCCTTCCCGAGAATGAGATGGATGCAAGGTCACAGTGACCTTTGACTATTGACCTATGACCACAGAAAACGAATCAGATCATCATCAAGTCCAAGTGAATGTTTGTGCTAAATTTGAGGAAATTCCCTCAAGGCGTTCTTGAGATACTGCATTCACAGAATGAGACAGACGAGGTCACAGTGACTTTGACCTTAAACCTTCTTCCACCAAATTCTAATCAGTTCATCATTGATTCCAAGTGGACGTTTGTGCCAAATTTGAAGATATTACCTCAAGGCGTTCATGACATATATACAGACGGACAACCTGAAAGCATTATGCCTTCGGCCACGGCTATCACCGGTGTGGACGCAAAACAAAACCTCAGCTCTGCTCAGCAAACGTCCACCTCCATCTTTCTACTTCCTTTGAGAAGTGTGGACTTCCTGTCTAACCCCTGTAAAGGTCTTACAGTGCAGTGTAGTTCATACTGGGTTTACTGGTGGACATGGCCTTCCATACAGACCACAGCGTCGGCCAAACGGCGAAGGTTATGTTACAAACTGGTTCACAGCCACAGCAGAGACAGAAGAAGAAGACGACAGGATGAAGAGATGAAGGGCTGAAAGAATGAGAGGATGAAAAGATCCGTCCCTCACAGCCAGAGGTCGGGAGTCTCAGACGATCACATGACTGCGTTTCCCAACCCTGGTCCCAGATCAGCTGCACCGTGTTGTGTAAAGAATTTACTGTCCCACACTTCCAAATATGCATTTCTATAGATTCAATAGATTCCATAGAATATAGATTTCTGCTCTACAGTCAACACTACAGAATATATACTATTGTTTTGTGCTGGAAAAAAAACGAGAACATAAAAACAATTTATGGTGTATTAATATGTCGTGGTACTTGAAAGTATCTGGAAGTTCATGGGTAGATATAAATTTGGACGTATTTAATAGTACGCTAGCAGATACATGTTTAGAGGTTTGCTGGTAGATACTAGGAAGTGTTTTTGGAAGTATGCAAGTAGATAGATATTTGCACTGACGCAATAAATAGATATTTGGAAGTCTCTGGAAAATAGATAAAAAGTGCACAAGTAGACGGACATTTTATATAAGTAGGCAGATATGTGGAAGCAAGAAGATAAAATAGTATTGGAAGTGTATTAGAAGATCGATAGTTGGAAGTCTACAAGTAAGTACACATTAAGAAGTATTTTAAAGTATACCAGGAGAAAGACATCTGGAGTTATTTGGAAGTATGGAAGTCTATCGATATATGGAAGTATATGGATCCGGAAGTCTATAAAGTATTTTGAAGTATCCGAAGACATTTTCTGTTACGTCTGTGTTTGACAGACTTGTTTCTGGGGAAGGATCTAGCTGTCGGACCTGGGCGGGGAAAGTGTGAGGCGAGGGGAGGGGAGATGGCGTTACCTTCCGCAGTACCAGAGAGGCCGTCGGCTTTGAAGTTGCTGGTGCTCTTCTTCCTGCGGTGCTTCTTGCGGTTGGCGTGTGGCGATGGTGGCGGCTCCATCTTGGGACTGGTGGTACTGGAGATACTGGGACTGGAACAGACTGAGTCTCCCAGGCCTGTATCTGAGAATTCAACACAAAAAGACAAAGATCCTTTGAATTTCTTGTACTGGTCCTTCATGGAGTATGTAAGACAATATATATCCACTTTTAGCTATACGCTTAGCTATTTCACATTATATTAATATTTAAAAGTACACAAGGAACAGATATTTGCGAATATATAATAAGACAATAAAATATTTGCAAGCATAAAATGATATGGAAATTTGGAGGTATCTGAAAGTATGTTAAGTTTATAGAACTTTGGAAGTGTAGAAGAAAATGGATATTTAAAAGTATACAAGGATACAGATATTTCTATGTATTTGTGAATATTTACATATTAAGATATATATTTAAGTATTTTTGAAAATGATTATTTGAAACTATACAAGGATACAGTTTTTTGTATGTGTAAATGTGTCAAGGTAAGAAATGTGTATGTAGTAAGGATATAGGAATTTGGTGGTACATATGGAAATGGATATTTGAAAGTATACAAGGATAATTATTCCTCAGGTGAAGGGCTCATCAGGGTCAGACAGGAGTAACTTGGTGCAAGTTACTCCTGTCTGACCCTGATGAAGACCTATGTTGGTCGATACGCGTTGGTCATTTTTTAACTCTTTTTGATTCATTTTGCCATGTAAAATAAAGGCATTTTAACTTTACAGACTTTACAGTGTGCCTTGGTGTGTTTTTGAAGGAGCCTTGCATTTTTTGATTTTTTACTGAGACTGTTTGACCCATGCAATGAGCCCTTCACCTGAGGAATAAGTGCAAAATACCTGAAGTATCCAAAGAGCACCTGTATTGTGACCAACAGAAGGACCCAGCAGCGCTTCCACTCTGTTGTCTTCATATACAAGGATAATATTGGCAGTATGTATTTGAATTTTACACACTGACACTGCAGTCGCTGATCTTTAAAGCTACAGGAAGCAAAATGTTCTTCACAATAAAAGCCCTGCATTGGCTGACCAGTGAACAGCTTTTACTTTGGAACAGAGACAGGATGTGCTGAGTTTTCTGAACTGATAATAAAACGATTTACTTATAAGGAAGCCTCAGCACGCACTTCCTGTTTGGGTGACTTATGTTCAACTTCATATCTTATTTTGAAGGTATTGATTGATTATTTATTTATTTCCTATAAACAAGTATTGATCATGTGTCAATCATCCAATCAGAGACAAGGTCTATTGTTAAAGGAACATTTGGTGGAAATATAAAATACGACGCCAACAATCAGAACCAGGACCAGAACCAGGGTCAGAGCTGATGAACCTGATCGATATCCCGTTCGGGTGGACGCGCAGGTCCGGAGGGCTCGGCGCTGTGGGCGAGAGCGAGCCTATCAGAGCAGGAAGTGGAGTCTCTCAGTCTGGCCTCCACTCTTCATGGCGCCCGCTGACAGCCGTGACTAGCGGCAGAATAAAATAACATTCAGCTTCCATCAATATCACAGCGCGGCGGCGACGCTGACATGAGTGCTGTGTGTCAGTGTGTGTGTGTGTGGAGATGGAAACACAAAACACACACACGTATATACACAAGCGGCTGGTCGGCCGGCGAGCGGCAGACAGCCCCAAGGACGGCCATAACTTATTTTACAATCGTTTAGTCTCAGCTCAAGTGGAAAATGTGACAACTTATCTCTGCTGACAAGATGCCATCCCCGAGAGTGCAATTAACCGCCGTGGATTAACGGCCCTCCCATCTGCAAGCCGCGCTCCATCCACGTCAACCCCCCCCCCACCTCCACCTCCACCTCCACCTCAAGACCTCCTCCTCCTCCTCCTCCTGATCCACTCTCCCTCCATCCCTCTGTGCTGATTGTTGTCTCTGCTGTTTCCTCTCAGATCTGAAGCCGATCAACAGTTTGGACACTGACCGCACCTCACATCCTTTACTTCAGTGCGACCAGGAAAATACTCGATTACAAGTAATAGTACAAAACACCATCACCAAAAGATTCAAATTATTATGTCGGGCCCCTCCAAAGGGTCCCAGATAAACCTGATGGGTCTTTACCAGTAATGGTCACAATAAATCTCTGTGAACGGACAGTTTTGTAAACAGATATTTACCTCTACATTTCGGCCTCTTGTCCGAACACATCAGAGTTTTAGGTCACTAAGACTTCTTCACTTCTAAAGCGCAGATTTTTCAAAACTCTGGTTACTGTTAATCTGGCAGTGACGTAATCTCCTAAATTGGTGCGTTCCTGTTGTTGCTTTGCCCTCCAGGATGTTGAGATTGCAACAATTCAGCCAATCCCCCACCAGTTCAGATTCGGAATTCCTTCCGATTTCGTCTCATCACCACAACTTTACCACATTTGTCTTTCTTAAACAGGTAAAATCTGGTTTGATCATAGAGCTGCGTGCAACGCATGGATTCACTCAACCCCTCTCAGAGTCACACACACAGTGACAGGGCTATCTGTTAGCATCACAAAGCTAACGTGACCCAACGGTTATGAGCAGTTTAACGACAGTTGAGCTGTTTTGCCATTGGTATGAGATGTTAGCCACTGCTGCGGGGGTTCCAGCTTCAAGAGTCACAACATGATGAGTAGGGGTGCGATCATGTATGCGCAATGTCTAAAATAAAACAGAAAAGAAATGAAACATATAGACGGAAACTATCGGTGCTGCAGCGACAGCTTCGCCCCCTGAACCTGCTGTTCTCAGCCAGGTCTTTACATTTGGCATCAATGTATTTAACATGAATCAATTCTTGGCAGCACCGGCAAAATTCAGTCGGAAATCAAAATCATTCTCAAATATTGATTATGTGAGTATAATAATACTGATAGAAATGATACGTCAGAGGAGGCAGAGTCAGCTCTCAGTTTCATTGACGGAAGAGGAAACACTCCCCCCACAGAGTTTGGCTCTTCGTACTTTTTGCCTTGCTGTCTTCGGATAAACTTGTTAGATTTGCTGTCTTAAAGTTTGGCTAAATTTTCAGGATAACAAAACTCAAAAAGATGAACTTCCTGACGTCGTTATGAACCCCGGCAACGAGCTGAAACTCCCCAAATTTCCCTGCTGCAGTTTAAAAAGCGTAAACAGAATATTGATCATGCCGTGTCATCGAGACATTGCCAGAATCCACCTCCAGATACAATCTGGGCTCCTTCTTCCATTAGATGTAGACCTCTACATGTGTGTGTGTGTGTGTGTGTGTGTGTGTGTGTGTGTGTGTGTCGGTGTGGTCCTNTTAGATGTAGACCTCTACATGTGTGTGTGTGTGTGTGTGTGTGTGTGTGTGTGTGTGTGTGGCCCCTGGGAGTCCACTGAAAGCATTTCACAGCTTTAAACGTTATTTGCGGAGGGCCGGGGGGCAAAACACTGACTGCAGAGCTGTCAGTCAAGCTTATCGTCACGGCAACACACACACAGACACACACACACACACACACACATGGCCTGACAGCTGTCAGTCTCAGCGTCTCGCCCTGTGTGTGTGTTTATAAGGTAACACAGCAGTTAAGGACTCACACACACTCTGGGCGGCCATTAGCCTGACGAACAGTTAAAGTAGCATTAGCGTTCTGGCAGGTGGATCAATAGGAGACAAATGATAGGCTCCCCCGTGGAGCTGCGCACCGGGGCCCTCTGAGCCCCAGCAGGCTGCCTGCAGTGGAGCTGCGTGTGTGGACCCGATGTGTGTGAGGCTTTTAAATAAAGACAAGACAAACTGTCCGACGTCTGACATGTTTAAACAAAGTTTGTGTTTACCTGTGCTGACTCCGGAGTTGGCGATGACGGTGGCGTCGGTCCACTGGTCGGCGCTGGAGACGGAGTACGAGCGCTGGTGCATCCCCTCCAGGCCGCGACTGTTGAAGGACACCAAGCTGACGCCGCTCGCCATCTGAGACACCGACGAGCTGCTGGTCACCGAACCTGAGGGAGGATGTCAGGTTTAAGTCTTCGGTCTGAGAGGACGAGGGACGTCCAACTCTAAAATACGTCTCTGTCTGTTTAAAGGTCCATTCAGTCAGATACTGATTCATCATCACACTTTGACTCATGATGCTCAGTTTTTACGATGGCATTACCCACAATGCACCTTCTCCTGACAGCTGCGTGGTAGACTATGGTGTGCTACGCTAGTTAGCAGTTAGACGTCTGACTTTTCAGTCTTGTCGTGACGTCATGTAACTGCTGATCGTTTATATCTGACATGTCTGACAGTGGAGGTGGTGTCAGGACGTTTATTTACGACACCTAACAAAAAAAAAAACAGGAAGTTAAGACACAAAACAGGAAATGGAACAAACAGTAAAAGCAGCCAACTGAGAATTTTACTTTTTTCTTTTACAGAGGATCAGTAAAGAGAGAGAGAGAGGATAAGTTTGGGAATTTTTTGGGGGACAAAAGTAAATTTCAATTCATTTCAAGTATAAAATCCTAATTTTTATTGGTGAAAGTGTTTATTTATTCATTTTTTGCGCCGCATGTATCTAACCTAGTTTTGCAAAGCGTCCGTACATTTTCTTTAAGTTCATCTCAAAAAACAAAAAAAACAAACAAAGAAACATTTTCACAATTTCAGGATAAAATTTGCGCCTTTTAAAAAAACATTGTGGGGCACCCAAAAATGTAAATTCAGCCATTATCTACTCACCCATATGCCGAGGGAGGCTCAGGTGAAGTTTTAGAGTCCTCACATCACTTGCAGAGATCCAAGGGGAGAGGAGGTAGCAACACAACTCCACCTAATGGAGGCTGACGGCGCCCCAGATTCAAACGTCCAAAAACACATAATTGAAACCACAAAATATCTCCATACTGCTCGTCCGTAGTGATCCAAGTGTCCTGAAGCCCCGACATAAAAAGTTGTTTGGAAAAACCTCATTTGAACTCTGTTTTTAGCCTCATTGTAGCCTGTAGCTCTGACTGCCTCTCTGGGCACCACGCTCACATGTGTGTTCACGTGCTTTCGCTGGTCTGGCGCACAAGCGAGCAGTATGGAGATATTTTGTGGTTTCAATGATGTGTTTTTGGACGTTTGAATCTGGGGCGCCGTCAGCCTCCATTAGGTGGAGTTTTGTTGCTACCTCCTCTCCCCTTGGATCTCTGCAAGTGATGTGAGGACTCTAACCGCCCCCCGATGATGACAATCCCTTTAAGCTCTGTTATTTTCATTATCTTTTATTTTTTTGATTTTTCAATAAATTTTTCGACATAAAATAGAAACCTTTTAAAAGTAAACTTATTTATTTATTTTTTTTCCCCAAAAAATATGGTCACAAAGAGTCGGGAAATTTTTGGTTAAATTTGGAAACATTTCTGTTAAATTTCCAGATATTTTCAGAGGAAAGTGAAGCTTGGAATTTTGGAGAATTCTATAAAAGATTTGTCGTTCAAATAATTTAATTTGAGTTAAATTTGTGTTTCACATTTCTGTCAAAGATTCGTCTCCATCAGCAGCCTGAGAAAAAACTGTCCCCGCTAATTCCCACGGAAAGTTTCCACCTCGAATATTCCCAGCATTTTGCAGCCATAGTCCAAACACAGTCGGCCGTGTAACACACACACACACACACACACAGAGGCACATAAAAGGCAGCTTCTTACATTACAAGCTGGCTGCTTAAATCAAACCCTTGAGTTAGTAAGAGGCTGCTCGCTCCAACAGCCGGGTGATTCACCCCCCCTCCTCCTCCTCTCATTACAGCTCATCTCTTGGTGCTGGCTGAGCGGAGCCAGGACTCTGATTGCATTAATATTCATGACAATAATTAGTACATGGAGTACGGCTCACTGAATATTCATGCTATTAGCTCGGGCCTCCTGGATCCCAGTGTGTGTTTGATTTAACCGCCTCATAAGACCTGCTTTTATGTGCGGCGCCGAGGAGCGCTCGTTTCCCTGCACCTTTTGTTTTTTACGACGTCTTCCTTCAGGTGCAAAGAAGCGTTCTGTGTGTTTCAAGGATGCGTTTTTTTTTTCCTTTCTCGTCTTTGAATATTCAGCAGAGGACGAAACACGCATGTGTTTATGATGAGGCATCAAGAGCTGCAATTAGTGCTGATTAAAAAATAAATGTTCTCATGTTGGTGTCAACTGATGGTTGTTCCTCCACGCCGACCCCTGGACGTGACGCCGGGCCGCGGGGACATGGAGTCCAACCCTACGTCACAGAAACTCTCATTCATTTCAATGTTCAAATACACAGACGCACTTCCTGGTTTTATTTTTAATGCCTCATGTTTGACACGTATGAGATGGAGTCTTCAGGGGACACTGACCTCTCTCACCTGGAGTCTGTCCCAGCTGCATGCTGCTCATGTCCTTCGTCAGACCGTTGGTTTTGGGGCTCGGGACGGCGGCGCAGGTGGACACGGCGCGGGGCGGCCTCTTCCCCGGCACCTTGACTGTGGTCCTCAGCAGGTCGATCTCCTTACCGTGGACATTCTGCATGTAGTCCTGAGGGACAGGAGGGGGAAGGTCAAAGACAGTTTAGAAAGGGAAGACATTTTTAGAAAGTGAGGACATGCTTGAAATGTGGACTTTTTAGAAAGTGAAAACTGATTCAGAAAGTGAGGACATTTTTAACAAGTTAGGACATGTTTGGAAAGTGAGGACATTTTTAACAAGTTAGGACATGTTTGGAAAGTGAGGACATTTTTAAGTAGTGAGGACGTTTTCAGAGAGTGCAAACTGATTTAGAAAGTAGGACATGTTTGGAAAGTGAGGACATTTTTAGAAAGGGAAGACAGTTTTTAGAAAGTCAGGACATTTTTGAAATGTGGACTTTTTAGAAAGTGAAAACTGATTTAGAAAGTGAAGACATTTTTAAGAAGTGAGGACGTTTTTAGAAAGTGAAGACATTTCTGGAAAGTGAACTGCAAACTGATTTAGAAAGTGAGGACATTTTTAGAAATGAGGACATTTTTAGAAAGGGAAGACAGTTTTTAGAAAGTCAGGACATTTTTGAAATGTGGACTTCTTAGAAAGTGAAAACTGATTTAGAAAGTGAGGACATTTTTAAGAAGTGAGGACGTTTTTAGAAAGTGAAGACATTTCTGGAAAGTGAACTGCAAACTGATTTAGAAAGTGAGGACATTTTTAGAAATGAGGACATTTTTAGAAAGGGAAGACAGTTTTTAGAAAGTCAGGACATTTTTGAAATGTGGACTTCTTAGAAAGTGAAAACTGATTTAGAAAGTGAGGACATTTTTAAGAAGTGAGGACGTTTTTAGAAAGTGAAGACATTTCTGGAAAGTGAACTGAAAACTGATTTAGAAAGTGAGGATGTTTTTAGACAGTGAAGACATCTTAAGAAGGGCAGACAATTTTAAAAAGCGAGGACAGTTTGAGAAAGTGAACACAGCTTTAAAAAAATAAATAAATAAATAAAACGTTGCTCACGACGAGTGTGTCGCTCAGTGGGGGGAGGGGATTAACTCCGGATAATAAATCAGCTGAATCTCAATATTATACAACAGAAACAAAGCCACACTAATCCCTCAAAGCGGCGCTGAAGTGGCCGACCACACCGGCTCTGATTGGTTCCGCCCGTTCGTCGTCACGCCCAGAACACGACCTGAACGCCGCCGGACGCCTGGACCGCCCCCCGATGATGAGCTCTCCTCCGGATCAGAGAGGTGAGTGGAAACACAAGTAGAGGTGTTAATGACGGACGAGAGGCGCTTGTTAAATCCACCCTCCGCTCCCCCTCTGAGCCGGGTGGAGTGTCAGCACTGACCCCAGAGGAGCAGGGCATTGTGGGAGGTCGGCCTCCTCTTCAACATGAAGGAGACGAGGAGAAACAAAGCTTGCACCGCCTGCTGGGCCGGATTAAATCCACCACTGGACTGCTATCTTTGTGAGGACCAGGACATTTAAGACAGGACACAGAGGACATTTTGGACATTTATGGAAAGTGAGGACATTTTTCATAAAGTGAGGACATTTTTCTAGAGTGAGGACTGTTTTGGAAAGTTAAGACATTTTGGACATCTTTAGAAAGTTAAGACATTTAGGACATGTTTTGGAAAGTTAAGACATTTTGGACATCTTTAGAAAGTTAAGACATTTTGGACATCTCTAGAAAGTAAAGACATTTAGGACATCTTTAGAAAGTTAAGACATTTTTGAAAAGTGAAGATTTTTTAAGAAAGTGAGGGCATTTTGGAAAGTGTGGACGTTTTTGGAAAGAGAAGGCACCTTTGGAGAGTCGAGACAATTTCTGAAAGTGAGCACATTTTTAGAAAGTGAAGACATTTTGAGAAACTGAGGACATCTTTGGAAAGTGAGGACATTTTTAAAACGTGGACTTTTATTTTAGAAGGTGATTCTGAGAGAGTGAGGACATTTTAAGAAAGTGAGGACAAATGAGGATTTTTTTTTGATCGTGATGACTTTAAGAACGATGTCTTTATAGTTTCAGGAGGTAAGGACATTTTTAAAACCTGGACTTCTTTAGAAAGTGGAGACATCTTTTCCAAACTTAAGACACCTTTGGAAAGTGACGGTGTTTTTAGAAACTAAGGACATCTTCCGAAAGTTAGGACATTTTAGAAAGTGAAGACTGATTAAGAAAGTTAGGACATTTTTAGAAAGTGAAGACTGATTAAGAAAGTTAGGACATTTTTAGAAAGTGAAATTATTGGAAAGTGAGGGCTTTTAAAATATGTCCTTAGAGTTTAAGGAAGTGAGGACATTTTTAAAATGTGGACTGGAAAACTGTTTTTGAAGGTGAGGAAATTCTGAGAAACTGAGGACATTTTCAGAAAGTGAGGATATTTTTAAAAAGTGAGGACATTTGTAGAAAGAAATCCTTAGAGTTTAAGAATATATTAAGAAAGTAAGGACTTTGTATGGACTGGACTGGATTTAAATAAAGTGTGGACATCTTTGGAGAGAAAGGAAATTTTGGAGAGCAAGAACTTTTGAAAATATGTCCTCTGAGTTCAAGGAAGTGAGGGCATTTTTAAAACGTGTGCTTTTCTTTAGGAAGTGGAGACATCTTTTCCAAACTTATGACACCTTTGGAAAGTGACGGTGTTTTTTAGAAACTGAGGACATCTTCCGAAAGTTAGGACATTTTAGAAAGTGAAGACTGATTAAGAAAACGAGGACATTTTTAGAAAGTAAAGACATCTTTGGAGAGTGAAGAAAGTATTGGAAAGTGAGGACTTTTAAAAGATGTCCTTAGAGTTGAAGCAAGTGAGGACATTTTTAAAACGTGGAATTTTTAGAATTTTTAGGCGTTTTTAGAAACTGAGGAAATCTTCTGAAAGTTAGCACATTTTAGAAAGTGAAGACTGATTAAGAAAACGAGGACATTTTTAGAAAGTAAAGACATCTTTGGAGAGTTAAGAAATTATTGTAAAGTGTGGACTTTTAGAAATATGTCCTTAGAGTTGAAGGAGATTTTTGGAGATTGGGGCAACAGTTTGAGAGTATGGATTTATTAGAAAGTGAGGAAATGTCTGCTGGTCCTCACGTACTGGTTTAGGTTCAGGTTTTGTCTGTGAATACAGAAGTCCAAACTTTTGTAAGAGTAAATAAAACTAAATGTCTGGCAATGAGTGTTTTCCAAACACCTGTCCACTCGTCAGGACACGAGGACACATTAACCTGGACCTAATTACGACTTTAAACCCGAACCAGCTCCTCGTCCTCAGACAGCCGTTTATAGAGGAGCGAGGACCGAAGACAACGTCCTCGCTCTGCAGCTCGAACACTCTAATTGGTCCTCACAACGATGGACTTGCAGGGACACACTCCGACAACACACACACTCTCTGTGAGTGTGTCCCGCCTCCCTCTGGCAGCTCGGCTGACAAAAGGCCAATTCAAAGCCAAGTGCTCTCGACGGCGTCTTAACAAGCCACCGGAGAGCCCTCGAGCCAGGGGCCCGCTGGGTAAACCCCTACACACACACACACACACACACACACACACACACACACACACTCCCCTCCGACAGATTGACCGAGGTAATTGAGTCTCCATTTGCATCGAGGAGCTTTCATCATCGGCCCGATCGTCCACGCCACGCAGCGGCGTCCAGGACGGATGTGTGTATCGACCAAACACACCGACAGCAGGTGGTGTGTGTGTGCATGCATGAGTGCGTATGTAAATGTGTGTGTGTATAAATGGATGCATAAACGGCGGCGGTGGCAGCGTCAGTGTGAAAAATGGGACAGGAACAGAGAGCTGGATTCTGCTGACGTGGAGGGAAACGTGAATCCATACAGAGCGTGTGCGTCCAAAAAGAGACGATCGATGGACGGAGAGACGGCGGGAGATGAAGGAGGAGAAGAAGAAGAAGCTCGGCGGGCAGACAGGAAACATTAAGCAGGAAGTGATGACGGTGACGGAGGTGTAAAAATGATGAAACGATAGAGTGGATGCAAACACGCAGAGTTCAGTGTGATGATGTCCACACAGTGTCCAGTTTATTAGGAACACCCTGCTCACAGTGCTGCAGTCGTTAAATCCTGTTTTTAAAAAGGTTATTTATTTTAGTTTGTGTTGAGACAAACGTTATTAATCATCATGTGCACAAATAAAAACCTTAAATATCAACAAAATGTTAAATGTCAGGCATTAAAACACGGAGCTAATTATACTCTAATCATAAAATAAAACATCAAGGTGGACAGGAAGTGCAGCCTGAATAAACTGGAATTAAAGGTATGAAATATGCAGGGATGTAAACAGGTGGTAAAACAGGAATTAAGTTTAATCCATGAATGAGATTAAACATCAACAATTTGTTATTTTCATATTATTTCACCCGCCTAGTTCTGTCACGTTTAAAATGGCTTTTTAAAATTTATTCTATTTATTTTATTTAATTTAAGAATTTTTATTTTTTTTGTATTTTTTTTAATTTTTTACATTATCTTGTTGTTTTTTTATTTGACTTTTTTAATTGCTCTTTTTAAATAATTTTAAAATCTTTTTGAGATAATGACACACTGTGAATTCATTTATTCGTATGATTATTTTTATTATTTCATTATTTTTATTTTATTTTTTAAACTGACATTGTACACAGATTTTCAAAATAGTAAGAAATTTTGAATATATTTCTTAATTGTATTTTATATTTATGTTTCTTGTCTCCACCAAAACACCACAGTAATTAAACCAGATATTTATTTATTTATTTTTTCCTTTTATAAATTTTTTTAGATATTTTAAATATTCCTATTTTTATTTTCTTTCTAATCTTTTTAAATATATTCTAAACAGTCACACTGCACACACAGGGTTAAAAAGAAAGAGTCAGTGGACCTTTAGTTCAGCTTGTTCAGTGTCATAATTAATCTGATGACAGACAGTGTTCACCTGCAGGGGGGCGGGGCCACAGCAGAAGGTGTTGGATACGATGTTGAAGCCACAGCTGCAGGCGGACAAACTGTTTCCTGTCTGAGATGATTTCAGCCTCCTCTCAGAATCCGGCTGATTAATCACTCTCTCTCTCTCTCTCTGTCTCTGTCTCTCTCTCTCTCTCTCTCTCTCTCTCGCCTGGTTGTTGGCTTTTATTTTTTTTTTTGGCTCCGTCTTCGTCTTCTTCAGTTTGGACGAGACTTTTGTTGCCAATTAGGTGGCATCTACTGCCATCCACTTAATTAGCGGCATTAATGTGATTTCTTTGCACATAGTCGGGCAATTAGCAGCGCTGATTGAGTTTCATTCGATTAGCCTCCGCAAACACGCTAATTGACGCTTGAGCTGCAGATGCAGAAAAAAAAAAGAAAGAAAGAAACTGGCTTTTTGGTGCTGGAGGGGGTTTGTGTATGTGTGTGTGTGTGTGTGTGTGTGTGTGTGTGTGTTTACACATGAGTGTGTGTTGATGTGTTAAGTGATGAGTTTTAACACTAATTTCCTGCATCAGCTGCTCTGATCGGTGACGGACGTGTGCAGTTTGGTGAAGTGCTTCTCGGCTCCGCGGGGAATCGAACCGACGACCTGCAGGCTGCAGAGCTGCCTTGCTCAAACACACCGAACCCTCTGAGGTTTAAACCTCTGTGTGTTATTCATCAGCTGATTTAATGTTTCTGAAGATGGTAAGTTCGTCAGCTGACAGCGAGAAAAATAACTGTTTTAATAATCGATAAATCAATAAACATCTGCTGCTGCTTCAACGTCTCAGTTTCTTTGTCTCATGTGACTTTAACGTGAATGATTTAACAAAACATTTTTCACTTCTCTGACATTTTCTGGACGAAACATATGATTCATTTATAGAAAATAAAAATCAGCAGATTTAACTAAATGAAAATCATGTTTGTCATGGAAACAAATACCAGACATAAATACTTTAAAATCAAAACGTGAAATTTCTTGATTTGCAATTTTCAAAACTTCAACTTTCAGCATTTGGAAAAAAAAGGACACACACACAAAAAAAAAATTATATTCATAAATTTGGACCCAAAATTTAAACTCTCGAAATTAAATAAAATAAAAAAGAAAAAAAAAAAAGAAAAAAGATCAGGTTTCTTAAATTCAGTAAGTAAAATTCTATCCAAAAATTCAACTTTCAGAATTTGGAGAAAAAAAAGGACAAAAAACAAAATATTCACGAATTTGGAGCCAAAAATTAAACTCTCGAAATTAAATAAAAGAAAAAACGAAAAAGAAAAAAAAAAAAAGATCAGGTTTCTTAAATTCAGTAAGTCAAATTTGATCCAAGAATTCAACTTTCAGAATTAAAAACAAAACAAAACAAAACAAAAAAATTTGTTTCAGATTGTTAAAATTCGTTTGGTCAAATTTTGATCCAAAAATTTAATTTTGCGAATTTCAAGAATAAATAAATAAGTAAACAAATTTGTTTCAGGTTGCTCAAATTGGGATCCAAAAATTCAACTTTTAAAATTAAAAAAAAAGAAAAAAAGTTTTTGATACAGATTGCTCAAATTTGATTGGCCAGATTAAGATCTAGTTGAAAAAAATTCATTTTTTTTTTTTTTTTTTAATTCAAAAAGCGACATCTAGGCTCCTCAGGCCACAGTAGGCGACTGATACTGAATGTTTTGACCAATCAAATGGACTGACGTTCTTTATGAATTCTAGATCTGAATTGGACCAATTCAATTTGAGCAACGTGAATCTTTTTTTTTTTTTTGCAATAATAAAAGTAGAATTATTTTAGATGAATTTATGAACAACAAAAAAAGAAAGCACAAATTAACATATTTCACTTTATAATTTCAAATAGGTGAATTCAGAACAAATAAATTCACAGTTTTCAAGGTAAAATATTTCAATTCTATAAATTTAGTCGTATATAAATTCACATATTAAGTATCAAGTGTTTAAATTCAAATATTTCTGTCACTTATTTGCTTCCGTAGTTTCGACTCCTTCATTTATCTTACGCTCTGACTCTCTGTCAGTTAGTCTCTGTCAGTTAGTGGTGAACTGTGACATAAGACAGAAAAACATTTGGCATTTTTGCTCAAGAACGTGACACGAATTGCCCAAAAAATGTCCCTGTAAAGTTCTGCCAACTGGACGTTCAATGGGAGGTTGTACCAAAGTATTTAACTGGACTTTTACTCTGAAAATCTCAGAAAAATTTTGGTTATCATTAAAATTAAAGGGTTTTCTTGAAATTTATTAACAAATTTAACAGATTAAACTCTTTTTTTTTTTTTTTTTTTCCAATAGATTTTTGGCGTTGTGTGTATTCTGGATTTGTTTATTGAGTTCCTACATTGTGCTGCAGCTGCTGTACAACTGTTTCCCTCGTGACACTTTATTTTATCTTCAATGGGAAACTGGAAAAACAAACTAAGATTAAAAAAACATGTAAACTAAATTTTATTTAAATTATTTAATTAAAAAAAAAAAAGTCTTTACGTTAAAGTCAGTGGAGAAAATCTGTTGAATGTGACGCTCCTAGCATCGATACGAGGCAGAAGACAGCGAGAGAAACTCAGTACCAAAAACTGTGTGTGTGTGTGTGTGTGTGTGTGTGTGTGTGTGTGTGTGTGTGTGTGTGATAATAAAGCGGCGTCGGGGCAGGATATTGTGCCAACAGGGCAGAGAGCCGGGGCAATTAGCAGAGACATTACAGCTGATATTCACATCATCAACGCCAACGTGGGCAAACAGATGACGAGTCCTAATTAATACACAAGCCATCAACACTGTGCGTGCGTGTGTGTGTGTGTGTGTGTGTGTGTGTGAGTATGATGGCCAAGTGGTGTCTGGAAACACACACACATACAGGAGGGAGATGAAGAGCAGCAGATAGATGGAGGTCAGCGCAGGCTGGCAGAGCGCTGGAGTCTAATAAGCAATCAGAGAGGGTTTGTAATGACTGTGTGTGTGTGTGTGTGTGTGTGTGTGTGTGTGTGCAGGTCGTACATGCAGACTCGGGTGGTAGGTGAGCAGTCCGTTGTCACACAGCGTCACGTACTTCTTCTTCCACTCCTTGTTGAGGGATTTACCGCTCCTCTTCAGCAGCATGCCCTGCAAACAGGAGACGACGCGTTCAATACGTTAAACACACACACACACACACACACACACAAACTCTTCTGTTCCTGATGATGTCATGTAAAAACATTATGATGTCACAGTGACACTGACCCTTGACCTCTGAGATACAAAATATCATCATATTGATATTATTTTATCCTGTCAGACATTTGTGTTCAATTTTGTCAATTAATTCTTGAGTTATGGCCAAAAACACGTCGGACTGTCGACCACCACATTCTGATTAGTTAAGTCATAGAGTCCCAGTGGACGTTTGTGCCAAATTTGAGAAAATTCCCTTAAGACTCTTAAGATATTACATTTACAAGACTGAGACAGATGCAAGGCCCCACTGACCTTTGACCACCAACTTTTTATGAGTTAACTGTTGATTCCAAGATGATGTTTGTGCCAAATTTGAAAAAAAAAAATTGCCTCAAGGCCTTCTTGAGACGTTGTGTTCATGAGGATGAGATGGACAGGGTCTCAAAGACCTTGACCACCATATTTTAACAAGTTTATCCTTGAGTACGAGTAGACGTTTGTGCCAGTTTGAAGAAATTCCCCTCAGGTGTTCTTGCAGTATCGCGTTCCTGAGAATGAAACGGATGTAAGGTCAGTGTGACCTTAACGTTTGACTACCATCAGTTCATCGTTGAGTCCAAGTGGAAGTTGGTGCCATATTTGACAAAATTCTCTCAAGGCGCTCTGGAGATATCACATTCACAAGAATGAGACGGACGTAAGGTGAGAGTGACCTTTGACCACCAATTTCTAATCATCGTTGTTGATTCAAAGTTGATGTCTGCGCCAAATTCGAAAAACAAAATTCCCTCAAGGTGTTCTTTAAATACCACATGAAGGTGAATTCATTGACCTTTGACCATCAAAATCCAATGAGTTCCTCATTAAGTCCAAGTGAACGTTAGTGCCAAATCTGAGAAAATTCCCTCAAGGCGCTCTAAAGATATCCCATTCACAAGCATGAGACAAATGTAAGGTCACAGTGACCTCTGACCACCACATTCTTATGAGTTCATTGTTGATTCCAAAAAGACATTTGTGCCAAATTTAAAGAAACTACCATACGGCCTTCTTGAGATTGTGTGTTCACGAGGATGAGAGGGACGGGTACTCATTATCTTGACCTTTGACCCTTGACCACCAACGTTAAGTAAGTTTATTCTTGAGTCCATGTGGACATTTTTGCCAAAGCAGGCAGCAGCTCTGGAAACAGACCCTCTGGTTAGTGGATGCAGCAGCTTGAACTCACTCAGTGCATCCAGTGGCGGGTCTAACTCGTGTAACAGCAGCAAGTTTGCTGATCTGGCAGGGAGCCGGAGCTGCTGCCTGCTCTCGTCCCGGCGAGGTGGTCTGTAGCGGTGCGGAGTCAGACAGAGGACACACTGTGACTGGAGGCTCTAGCTAACGCCAGCTACATGAACTCGAAGCCACAGTTGAGCCTTCAGCACCTGTTAGCAGAAAATATGTGCAACATTTTCTCTCCAGCTCTGAAACGCTACGCTACACAATGTACGTTAAAAACTTTTCCAAAACAGTCGATGAATTCCAAACCATTCAAAGACCTGGACAACAGTTCTTCTGATTTCATAACTTTTCCAGGAACTTCATGACCGTGTGAAACCTAAAATATTACAGATTGCTGCAACATTAAGATTAAGATTACTAGACCGAAAGTGGCCAAAAGTATCTGGACGGCGTGTCCTACATCTCGATTCTTAGATTCAGCTTTTTGTGAACACTGGAGCTGAATTTAATTCAGAGGCTTCGGAGCGAAGATAACGAGCTTCCAGCCAGAAGATGGATTAAATAAAGAGTTCGTCTCTTCCCCAAAAAACAACACGTTAACATCGGAGCTGAAAGGAAGTGGACAACGGCGAGAAATCAGCAGTTATTTAATCGTCTGACTCGTGTTTCAACATCCCCGTTTCACTTCCTCTCTCCTACGCACATCAGCCGTGGCTGACTGACCGTTTAGGCCGAGCGCCCGCCCGCCGCCCGCCCACACTTCATTTGAGCCGGATTCATTAGGTTAGAGAGGGAGAGAGCACGAAGGTCAAAGAGACAGCGAGGGAGAGAAAGAGGGAGATCAGAGAAGCAGGGGGGGTGGCGGCGGCGGGGGATAAAACTGTCCGCTGATTAGCAATTACAGCCGCGCTGCCACGCGTGTCACTTCACTGGACCTCTACAACATTAACACTCCGACAGAGGATATTAATAGGGTCCAGCCGTGAAGGGACGAAGGGGGGAGGGGAGGGGGGAGTCAGAGGCACCACTGAAGAAGAAGAGGAGGAGGAGGAAGTGGGGGTGAGATGTGAGATGGACAGACCGGCTGATGGACAGAAGCCTGCTCCCCGCTGCCCCGACCGCTCAGCTTTCATTAAGGCTGGTCGGTGGTGGCGGCGGGACAAGAGCGGTAGGCCCTGGGTGACCCCTCGCCGCCAGTGACGGCACATTTGGTGTAATTGGCGGTGACATAATGCCAAGAAGGGACGCTTCAGAGTGACAAAGAGGGGAGTCGAATGCAGGCAGTGAGTGGTGTAAAGGATGAGTGTCTGTGTCCAAAATGTCTTCCTAAAGAGTCTACGAGGTGAGACGTCTGACGGCAAGTCATCTTGTAATAAATACGCAGTGACAGCGGACGCAAAAGAACGTCAACAGAGTCAAATTTGATTGAAACGACCTGATAAAAACTTCTGGTGTTTGTGCCGTGCTATTTCTGCGGTTATAATAAAGATACGTTTGGTTCTAGCAGCCATGTCGGGTAATCGGTTGATCCACAACTTTGGTTTCAGCTTAAATATCTCAGCAAATGTTGAATGGACTGAAATTTGGTTCAGACATTCATGTTCCCTACAGGATGAACCCCAAAGAAATTGGTTATCCTCTGACTTTTCATTTAGCGCCACTAGCACGTCAAAGTTTTTAAAGTGTTTACATAAGAGTTCTCAAGAGTCTTGGTTCAGACATTTATGCTCCCCTGAGGATGAACCAGCGTGAATATATTCAATGATACAGATGTTTAAACATCATTTAACCAATGTGTCACAAACACGTTTAGTGCATTAAAGTGGTGTTAAACAGAAACAGTACAGATGAACGACTGCAACATTATCCAAGATACGAGATGTAAAGAGTTCCTAATGTGGTGTGTTCCGGATCAGTAACGGCCAGAGAACGTTCAGATTATCACTCTGAAGTCGAGTTTTACGTCCGTGGAGCTTCGTCAGGTCAGTGATGTTGTTCCCAGTGATTAACACTAATTTCAGCTCATGTCATGAGGAAGTAAAACAGATCAGTGTGTGTGTGTGTGTGTGTGTTGCTGCAACAACAGGGGTTCCCCACGGTGCGCTAAACACGACTTGACGAGCTTCCTGCTGCTCTGAAGTGAAAGCTGCCGGCAGCCGTGCAGCTGTCAGGCCAGCTGATCATCCATTACTGCCTGTTAGTGAGCGACCGAGCGGCAACATGTTTCCAGGCGTGTGTGTGTGTGTGTGTGTGTGTGTGTGTGTGCGTTTACATTCGGACGGTCGTCAATTAAGACTTTTTAGGTCAGCACACACTCATGGGAGTTTATCAATCTGAATCAATGGACAGATTTACAGAGGTGCAGCTCACTGAGATTATACGGACATTTAATTATTATCAAGGGACAAGAGTTCAAGAGTCTGAACCAAGGTTCCTGTTTTTGTTCGGTTGTCTATGTTTGCTTCAAGCGGGCTGAAAAACTCTACGTGAGTAGGGTTGCAAAATTCCAAGAGTGTTTAAGGTGGAAGCTTTCCATTAGAATTAATCATGATTAATGGTAAACATTCCCGATGACCCTCCTCCGAAATATGAATGATCCCGTCAGGCCCCACTCAGCCTCTCCATTGACTTCCTACAAAATGTACGTGCATTTTTCCACCAAATAAATTCACAATTAAAAGTTCTGATTTTTCTCTTGAAAAATGAATTGAATTCTTAAAAATAAAATTCAAACTTCCCTCTACATGACATACCTATGTCAGCCGGATATCCCCTTCGTCGTGCCATCATCACCTACATCCTGTCATTATTATACATCCTGTCATCATCACCTACGTCCTGTCATCATCACCCACATCCTGCCATCATCACCTACGTCCTGTCATTATCACCTACATCCTGTCATCATCACCTACATCCTGCCATCATCACCTACATCCTGTCATCATCACCTACATCCTGTCATCATCACCTACATCCTGTCATCATCACCCACATCCTGTCATCATCACCTACATCCTGCCATCATCACCTAC